TTCATAGGTTTATAAAACCAAGGTGTTACATGTGTAAATATTAAATTTTGGGTGTTTATATGTTAATGCATTAGAATTGTGTGGTATATATGTAAATTTCCGAATCACCAATAACTATTGCTAACCAGACCTGTGTATTTTTGTTGGTTTAGAAGATGGAATTTGGTGTTTGATAGCATTGTTATGTATTTGTGTTATAAGTAGAAGAAAAATGCTCAAATAAAGCTCTCACTAAACACGCTGAAATGAACTTATCCACTAAATACTCAATGCACAATCTTCCCCTCACGCTCACAGTCACTCCACTCACTCAAACTTCACACACACACACTTTAAATCCTTCCCCTAACATAACTCCACCCCATATATTATGCTCCAGCATGTGTTAATATACAACTGAAACCATCAAATCCAGCCCTGTATGGACCAAAACCGAGCCAACAAATGTAAAAATAACTTCCAGCATTTATTTAGGGAGCCATAAGAGTAGTAAAGCTGCATAATGAAGTCCCAAATGTTTAAGATGTATATTTACACATGAAGGAAATATCAGCACATCAGAGCTGAAAGTTGGATGAAAGAAGAATAGAATATCCAGCATGTGTTAATTCTATCTATCTATCTATCTATCTATGTATATATATTGTTGTGATATAAGTAGAAGAGAAAAGCTCTCAGCAAAAATGCTGAAATGAACGCATCCACTTAACACGAACTGCACAATCTTTCCCTCACGCTCACAGTCAATCCACTCACTCATACTTCACACACACACCCTTTAAATCCTTCCCATAACATAACTCCACCCCATCATGTTTAAATATACAACTGAAACCATCAAATCCAGCCCTGTAGGGACCAAAACCGAGCCAGCAAATGTCCAAATAACTTCCAGCATTTATTTAGGGAGGCATAACAGTAATAAAGCTGCGGAATGAAGTCCCAAATTCATTTAGGGACCAAAACCGAGCCAACAATGTATATATATATATATATGAAGTCCCAAATTCAGCATTTCATGTAGCAAATAAAAATAGAGAAATGAATTTTCCATTGCTTCTCATATGTGCTTCAGCTACCCAATTCGAATCAAAGCTTTTAAAACCGAAATCCCCAATTTTATAACCATTCAAGTTTATGCTTAGATGGTGAGAAAAGGATCGAACATAGCCGAAATTGACCACGTAAGGTGGAAAAAGTAAATACATAAGAATTATATGATCAGTATGCAAATGCTCTGCATAATCTGCATTCAAAGATAAACCATGAAGGCCCAAATTTTGCATTCGCATATATGGAAATGCCCCTTCAAAATTAAAAGCTCAACGATAAGAAGATGAAAAAAATTACAAAAATACATACAGAGCTCCGTGAGTTCGAATCAAAGCTTTTAACCAAAACCGAAATCCCTAATTCTATAACCATTCAAGGTTTTGCTTAGATGGTTAGAAAAAGGATCAAACAGAGCTCCCTGATCGAATGAAATCTTAACCAAAACCGAAATCCAGCACTGTAGGGACCAAAACCGACCCAAACAAATGAAAAAATAAGCCATAAGAATAACAAAGCTCAAGAATTTGTACTGATTCTTTTATAACCACCATATGAACAGAAATAACTGTGACAGAGATCGAACACGGCCTCCGGGAAGGAAGGAGACGGATATCGGGTAGGGCAAGAGTGAGGGGTCGAAAAAAAAATACCTCATATCACGGATCACAGCTTCAGGCAAGCTCGAAACCGAAGGCGAGACGGGAAGGGCGAGGGCAAGGGGGAGAAACGGGAAGGACAACACGGGAAAAACAACCTAAACGCGAGAAGCATACGCGGAACGGCGCCCCTAACCGGATTACCCCGTCCTTAAGGAAATAGCGGTATTAAAACGACGCGTTTTAAAAACTTGTCATGCGAACGGAATTTCCAAACGGAAGGGCGGCGTTTTCAAAACGCCGCCGCTTCCCAAACGCGCCCCCAAACGGGCCCTCAGTCTATCTTCACTTTAGAGAGAAATTAGCCAACCTTAAACTACTTTTGGAGGACTTTGCAGAGTATGTTTGACACAAAGTTTCAGTTCAATTCAATATTGTTACCCACAGATGGTTGGACAGATAGAGATGTTTACTTGCAATTTGGGAAACATGCCAGGTGTTTTGTGGCACAGTATATTCGACAGTGGGATTTAGATGTATCTAGAGATGCAGTCAAAGGCCCTCCAATTACATGAGGTTACAGTAGCTTCACCACCTTCAATGTGGCCGGCCTAACACCATATAATGAGGAGTTAGAAGCTTCGACCGATGCGGTCGAAGCTCCTCTAACCCCGATAGATTGATATGGGGGCCGGACGAGGGGCCTGGATCGGTTCAGTCCAGGTTGAGGGATAGGTCGATTAGCCCTTTATAGGCCTAGGATTGCCATCCAATTGGAGTGGATTCCACTCCAAATAGTAGTAAGTCTATTTAAGTGTTTATTTGATGTATAGGGTTTCTTTTTTTATGTGATTGTTTTGGGCCATCCAACGACATCTCTTTTTCCATTCTAGAGCTGTATCTTAGGGTTCCAAAAGGTGCTCTAGCTGTATTTTGGTCTCCAAGTGGTGTGTATCTCCTACCATTTTCCTACTCTCGCCTGCATCGATTACCTTCACCTTGCCACTTTTCCTTTACTGCCACGTTGTCGAACCCCTTCTTCCTTGCTGCCGCCAACCCATAATAACCCCTTTTACGACTGTTTCCAGCTTGCTAGCCTACCCTTGTCACTACCTCGGACGTTCAAACCCTAACCGACACTAGTACACCCTAGATCCAACCCTAGTTTTAGTGTTGTGTTGTTGCTTTGTTGCAATTTCAGATTTCCTTAGTGATTGTCGTAATTTCACTTTGAATTCGATAATAAATTTTGTTTTCCCTTTGGTGTTTGTTAAGTTCCGTTATCACTGAGTTTATGGTATTGTGATCATATGCCTTACAATAGTTTAGTCTTTAATGAAGTAACGAAACACATTGAGTTTGATTGTCATTTTATACGAGATGCTATGCTTTTGAATAAGATTGTTATTCATGGCTTCAATTTAGAAGAAATGGCAGATATTTTCATCAAAAGCTTTAGGTTTCATAATTTGTCACTATAGATGTTGAAGCTAATAGCTATATGCTTCAATTTGAGGCGTGCTAGTTTATTTGGAAATCATTATTTAGTGAGAGCACATATTTTGGGAAGATTTATGTTATCCTCCCTTAATTACATATATTTCATTCTTTGTTTTCTTCCTATTTAATTCATCGTGTATGCTAATTAATTAATAATAAAAACCGTCTAGTGAATAAATCATTTCATTTTTTTCCCTCAACCATTGGATTTTTATGTTTTGGCAAATGGATTGGGAATATATTTTTTTGTGATGTTGTTTACGCTTGTTTCAAGTCTCAGCTATCTTTTTGGGGCTAAATGCGTGTTCTTAATACTGAAGGAGCACTTTTTGGTTTTAATTAGGATGTACATGAATTATGAATAGTGTTATAGTTTATTAGTATGCTTGTTTGCTTATTAGCTTGATGACAGGTTGCTAATTACTTCTAGATTTGTTAACTGTTTGATAAGTCAATTGATCAGCTATATATTCAGTGATTATTTTGCTATTAATAACCAGTTTTTATAATTAGTATTCTCAATGAACATTGATTATGATTACTCAGTTGTAGCTATTAGTTAATCCATTAATTGACTAATATTTTTCTCTTATTTCATTAGTAACCAATTGGCAATTTAATTATAAGCTAATGGGGAATTAATTAATATTTTTTAACTAGTACTTAATTAAATATTAAACCTAGCAATTGAACTTTAAATTACTGACACAATGATTTTAATGCTTTAAATGCATGTCATAGTTTTTCGACAAAAAAAATTATGCTATCCGTCGACTACTTAACACAATCCTCCACTTTTCACGTTCGGGGCTTGGGACCTAACAATGACGAAATATGATTCATGTAGCCAACCCCACTTAATGAGTGTGGTTTTGGCTTCTTGTTATTGTTGTAACTAAACTTTAAATTACGATGTAAATAACTAGTTGTAGTTAGTTTTACATTTTAAAACAGTGCTCTCACAATCTAGTTTCTAACAATCCTTTCCTCCCCAACCTCTCATGCTCCTTTCTCTCTCTTTCTCTCACACACTTGCTCATTTTTTATTCTATTTCTTGCACATCCTCTCCATTTAGTTCTCCAATCCTATGGGACCTAGCTTAAGATATAAAATGATTTTATGGATTTAATTCCTTAGTCCTTAGAGATAAATGGATTAACCATTCTTAAGGTGTTTCCGAGTATAATGAAATTATAAACAATTCAAAATTCTTGCTCTCAAATAATGTTTCCAAAAGGCACCGTTTAAACTACATAAATAGTCCAATTACTTTGTTAATGCCAAATTATAATTATATCCTGCCAGATTATAAATTCTTGCAGTACTTTTAGTGTAGGTCTAATTATATCTTTAATGCCAATTTATAATTATTTATTTTTTTCATCATCATCATCCATGCTCCTTTTCTATCATTAGATTTATAAGAGTACATCTCTTCTTCTGTATTATCATACTCGTCTTCTTTTCCCTTAAAACACTATATTACTATTTGGAGCTCTTGCTACTATATTTGATCCAACTTGCTTCCTAATGTTTATACTTGTTTCTCCAAATCCTAATGCTCTTTCCACATCACTCCATGTTAAATTTACATCATAATAAACTATTTCAAATAGCATGTCACCTTTCACATTGGAAGTATTAGCATTGATCCCTCCAATCAACTAAAGTAGCTTTCCTTGTTGCTCAAATTCTTAAGGCAATGTGCATGCTTAGGCAACACCTTAGTAATAACGCCTGACTGCGAGATGTTTGAGACACTAACCTTGCTTAGTACTTGCCTTAGTTTTATATTACTGCTAAATATTGAGCTAAACTGGTTAGTTTCTAAACTATAATTAAATACCCAGATCCACTGCTGGTTCAAGCTGCTAGGGGGAATATTGTTAGCAGGCCTCCAGCATGGATGATGCGCCAAGCAGGAAGGTATATGGCTGTCTATAGAAAACTTTCAGAGAAACATCCATCCTTCAGAATGAGGTCAGAGAACGTTGATCTCATTGTGGAAATTTCTTTGCAGCCTTGGCGAGCTTTCCATCCAGATGGTGTTATAATTTTCTCTGACATACTTACCCCTCTCCCTGCGTTTGGTGTCCCTTTTGAAATAGACGAAGTAAAAGGTCCTATTATTCAGAGCCCGATTTGTTCAGAGGCTGATCTGAATAATTTGCATCCCATTGACTTGGACAAGCTTCAATTTGTGGGAGAATCTCTAAAGATCTTGAGATCTGAGGTATATTAACTTAAACAATAGTTTTTATTTTTTTCATGAAGCATTATTTCCATCACTTTAGTTATACAGCTTTTTTTCCTTTCTTTTCCTTTTTTTTCTCTTTAAGTTGGTTTTAAAATTTCAGAACATGATTTTAATTATAAATGAAATAAGATGTTCCGCGAACAAAGAATGTATGCTTGTGGCTGACAACTGAACTAAAAAATGTATGCGGCTCTTCTTTATGCCTTCTAAGATATGCTAGTTAAAATGAAGGGAATCGTTAGTATTGGTGTATGCTAAAAAATAATCTTTATGCCTATGTAGGTCAAAAAGGAGCTTAAAATCCATGAAATTGAGGTTTCCTCAATTCCTAAGACTTTCCACGTGGCTTTTTCGATCCTTTGGAATGATTGCAGAATTCCACTTCAATATGTCTATTCTCTCGGAATTCTGTGGTTATCCCTTCGTTTCCACTACTCCGCGGGTAGATATCGTAGTTTCACAAAACATTTTAACTTCCTAGTTGGCCTGACTGAGTAAATTAAGTTCGGAGATTTACCAACAACATGACCATGAAAGCTCGAAGAAAACACTTAATGGAAAAATATTACGGAAAAATCACGATAAATCCACTACTCTCTACATCACAAAAACACAAAGAAGAATTTAGCCATGCATCGCAGAGAAAACCATAGCAGAAAAAAATATGCAAAAATACATTGCAAGCAACAAATACATGAAAGACTTACAATAATTTGTTTACTTATTGACGACAACAACTCTCCCTCATACAAAGCTCTCACAACTCACAAAACAAAAGAAAAATCCTTCTTTTAAGTTTCCACCAAGAGGAGGAAGAGAACCCTCAAGAAAGAACTCAAATTCTCTCCACAAATCCTCCTCTAGTAGTTTCCAAGCCTTCTCTACTGCAAATCTCCCTCCAAGAAGCCATAGGAATCAATTTTATAGCAAGAATCATAGCTTGCGCCATTAAATGTCCTTCTTAAAGTGTTTTCCCGCTCGTCGTGATCGCATGCCCATAATTGCCGTCGCCACGCACAGAACTGTAAGGCCGGCGTGGCCATGTCTGATTGTGGGCATGGTCACGTTGCAACCCTTTGATATATGATGTGGTTACACCATTTCTAAGCATGGTCATGTTGCTTTGGGGCACTTTTTGTTTGATTTTCTCGTTCCAAATTGTTTGTATTCAACCCTGCAGCCTGCACAACATTAACAAAATTTTTCTCAAGCGTAAATATGTGATAAATAAATAAAAGTAACATATAAAATGTAGGAAAAATGCAGGTAAAATCACGTAAAATTGACGTATGTCAATACCCTCAAACTTAACCTATTATTGTCCCTCAAGTAATCACATGACTCAGTTAGATATTATGAATTGAATTGACATTGCTGTAGGATTTTAATTATTCAACATATTTATTAGAAGCTATTAATAGTATTAAACATCGTTATAACACCAGTTAACTTTAATGATTAATAACTTGATCTTTTCTTAATTCCCTTCATTTTATTCTTAAGAAAACCCCATAGATTCTTAAATCGGTGTTAATTTAGGTCTTTTCACTTATCTTGAATGCCTTTAATATAGTTTCAATGAATTTTAGCTAAATTAATATTTCCTTAACTCTTTTCCTTGAAAATAACATTTTAAAGTGATTTTTCATTAAAGAAGCACAACAAAATTTTATCATTTAAGTCTCACTAAATCTCTTAATTCTTTTTCTTTTGTTGAATTTTTGCTGTGTCAACTTGAAGCTTTTTCTTAGGAATTTTCTTACTTTTGCGCTTTTTCAATTTTTTTCCATTTTTTTTGTCCTAGGAATTACTATATTTATTTGATAACTTTTCTCTTTCTTTTCTAATTTTAAATGTGAAGAAAAATAATATTTTTTAAGAAGTAAAAAATTCAACACTTGATATTTTAATGCTCTACTGCCAAGTTATCTTTTCTAGTTAAGACTTAAGGTCACATTAATTTAGTTAAAATGCACTGAAAAAAAACTGCAGATATTCTTGTTTTGCTACTTAACACTTACATTATACCTTTTTAATTGTCTGCTGGTTCTTTTAAGTAATGTTTGAAGTTGTTAAGGGCAGAATTTTGTTATTAACTTGTTAAATTAATTTTTTTTAAAATGATAGTTATCTTCTTTTAATATATTATGATAAACAGTTTGAATTAATCAACATGTCTGATAGGAATTATCCAATGAAAATTTAATTTTTTACTGAACTATGTTAATTACCCTTCAGCTTCATAATAAGGTACTTCTTTTCCGTCAAACTTATTTTTTTTTACACATGGATAATGGATAGTAACCGTAAATAAAAAATAGGTAAGTGCGGGAAAAAGTAATGGCAGTCACATGAATCTCCGAAAGTAAAGTACAAAGTTCAATAGGTAAAATCATAAAAGAAAGTAATCAACACCACAACAATACAAATCTTACTATATATATGAAAATAAAACAGGTACAAAAATGTGCCAGAGGCAATTAGCAGGGTCAACAACACACTCATAGAAATCAACACTCACTATTGCGGCTAAGCAATAATGCAGTAGCCCCATGGGAGAAACCGGTCATGTAGGATCAGCAGGGACAACAACATAAAGACACATGATACAAGACACTCAAGATTGCAGTAGTCGCCTACGCCACTGCCAGAACCACTCGAACGACACTCCTCTCGTATGAAGGGTGCAAAGACTCAACTGCGTGTAAGCTTCTCACTGAGTGCAAACACATGACAATGCCAGAGTCGCCTAATCACTGTTGGTCTCCTTCATGTCGTCATCATTCGGAACATAAAACTCGAATGAAGATGCATTTGGGAAGGTCACTGACGGTAGCGATCACTGCACTTCTTAAATGCATCGGTGCATGTATCCATACTGTCGTTGATGCTGCTCCGCACAGTGTTGTGTCTGCATGCAAACATCATATAGTACTAGAGACATCCTTCAAGCGCCTCATTATCTCGACACTTGAATGGTTTCACTGCAAAGGCTCGGGACGTTGCAAGAAACTCTCTCTTCTCTCCCGAGATGAACCCCACGCAGGGCTAGCAGAAGAAAAGGTGGTCCTGGTGATCTGCTTTTGCGACATTAACTTCTTTTCTCCACTTCCTCCTGTTGCCCCTTCTCTATGACACAGAGCAGAAATGATGCAGGAGTGTCTTAGACCTCTTCCCCAGAACGAACCTTCCATTGAACGGTGAAGTCAGTGATAATCAGGAGGCGGGAATTGCTCGAAATCGCAATAAGGAATGTCGGGGAGGCCAACAAGATCATTTATTGTGATAGGATCAAAAGAATCAGCTTCCTAGCACGAAGGCTACCCCGCCCACAGATTCTTTGGCGCTCACGCAGAGTTCGCGAACGAGCGAGACAACGGCGGCGCCGACTGTATAACAAAGACTCATCCACCCCTGCTTCAATTTCTACAATAATCCTATCCTCTGGAAACTGAAATACTTGCTCTAAAATCAGCTTCTTTTTTACCAGAACGTTTTCATACCTTTGATATTTTCATATCTGCATTCAAAATTTGCACAACCTTCTCGATGGAATGTTCCTGTACTGTATGCAGTTCAACGTAGGAAGAAGCTATCAGTTGTGATATCTGATTTCTGGCGTTAGCAGCTTCACCTTTCTTTTTTACTGTCTACTCGCGGACGCTTAAAACGACAGGTGACCTCGACTTCATGGAGGTCCGGGTAGGTTACTTTGGTTGAATCATCTGATAGGTCGACTGCCAAGTTCACTTGGGTGCCACAAAATTCTGTTTCATTTGGCGCACATGCATATTTAACTCCGGTCCAATTTCTCTTCCAACTTGGGCTCAAGCCCACAAAGTTTAAATTTTTTCGCAGCGGGCACCATCTACAAGATCATAACATACACTATTAAATAAAAATGAAATTAACCAAATTAGAAGATATGAAAAAAAAAATTTACTGCACGTCTTTATGTCCACCACCCCTCCGGAGCAACAACTGTTCGCTTCACCGGATCCCAACCCAAGTCCGTTGATCCTCACTTCAATTTCTTCCAAAATTTTCAATCCTTCTGGAATTGATTCTATTTATTCTTCAATTGCATCTGTTCATACTCTCTATCTGCACTCTCGAATTTTTTAACTATATTTTATCATCCCTCTTTGTTGAAATATGTAGTTGGCTTACTTCTAAGGTCAACGTCGATGAGGCGAAGGTCACAAAAGATTTTTTTGATTTCCTTATCCCACAATGTGAGCACACCAACCTCTTTGGTCTTAGTCATTTTATTACTATGACAGAAAAACAAACATGCAAAATAAGAGCATGTCAACTGTATATGTCTCATGAAAGTGGTATGAGCAATGAATTACAGTTGCTATGCATAATATTTTACCACAATTTTTCTAGGGCAATCTGATGCAATGGTTCACTTTAGATAATGTGTGATTGAAAAAAATATTTTTCTTAGCATAAAATTTAAACTGGTACGCAAGATCATGCTCAGATAGTCTACAACTACATATGTTTTCTAGCGGAGAGCATAAAAAATGATGACACAGATGATATGTTATCCTTTCTCACAATATTTTCTTATTATATGCCACAAGGGGTATCAATAAATATGCATAATTTGCTGTCATAGTAATTGTCTAAGCAAAAGTTTTGAAAAACAGGTACTCATGAACATGCTTAGACATACCAAAAATACATATGTTTCCTATTAGTGAGCATAAAAATGATAACAAACATGGTCTATTACCATTTCTTACAATATTTTCTCATTTGCATACTCAAACAGTTTACAACTACAAATGTTTCCTAGCAGTGAGCATAAAACTGCTAGTAAAGATGGTTTGTTGCCCATTCTTATAATATTTTCTCATTATATGCCCCGAGAGATATCAGTAGCTATGTATTAAATGGTGTTATTATTGTATTATAGTAGTCATATTGCGGTATCATTGGGGTGTTATCATGATGTTATTTTACTACTCCAATAACACCTCAATAATGTCGCAATAACATCACTCAAATAAACCACAACTGCATATGTTTCCTAGCAGTGAGCATAAAAATGATAACAAACATGGTATGTTGCCCCTTACAATATTTTCTCATTTGCATGCTCAAACAGTTCACAGCTACAAATGTTTTCTAGCACTGAGCATAAAACTGATAACAAAGATGATTAGTTGCCCATTCTTATAATATTTTCTCATTATATGCCCTAAGGGATATCAGTTGCTATGCATTATATGGTGTTATTGATGTATTTTTAGAGTCTTATTGTGGTATTATTGGGTGTTATCTTGATGTTAATTTATCACTCCAATAATTTCTCAATAATGTCGTAATAACACCACTCAAACAGGCCACAACTACATATGTTTCTTAGCAGTGATCATACAACAACAACAAAGCCTTAATCCCACTACGTGGAGTCAATTAGCAGTGATCATAAAAATACAATATTTTCTCATTAGATGCCCCAAGGGGTATCAGTAGCTATGCATTTTATCGTGTTATTGTTGTATTATTTTAGTCTTGTTGTGGTATTATTGGGGTGTTATCATGATGTTATTTTAACACTTCGATAATGCCACAATAACATCACTCAAATAAACCACAATTACATTGTTTTCTAGCAGTGAGCATAAAAATGATAACAAAGATGATATGTTGCTCATTTTTACCATATTTTCTCATTATATGCCCCAACAAGTACCAGTTCCTATGCATAATATGTCTTCACAGTAATTTTTTAAGGCTATCTACTTCATTGTCTCACTTCAGAGTGTGTGTGATTGAAAATTTATTTTTCTTCTTATAGGAATGCTCCAGGTGGTATTACTATTAAATTTCAGTCACAAAATATAAAATTCTACATAGGTTTCTTTCTTACAATATTTTCTCATTATATGTCTCAAGGGATATGAGTAGCTATGCATTATATGGTGTTTTTGCAATATTATTGCAGTCTTATTGTGGTATTATTAGGGTGTTATCAAGATGCTATTTTACCACTCCACTAACACTTCAATAATGTCGCAATAACATCACTCAAACATACCTCAACTACATATTTTCTAGCAGTGAACATAAAAATGATGACAAAGATGATCTGTTGCCCTTTCTTACAATATTTTCTCATTATATGCCTCAAGAGGTATCAGTCTCTATGCATAATATGTAATCACAGTATTTTTCTGAGCCTATTTATTTCATTGCCTCACTTCAGGGTGTGTGTGATTGAAAAATATACTTTTCTTCTCATAAGAATGCTCCACGTGGTATTACTACCGAATTTCAGTCACAAAGCATGAAATTCTACATAATGATAGTAAAAATGATATGTTGCCCTTTCTTAAAATATTTTTTCATTATATGCCCCAAGTTGTATTAGTTTTTATGCATAATATGTCATCACAATAATTTTCTGAGCATATCTACTTCACTGCCTCACCTCAGAGTGTGATGAAAAATATGTTTTTCTTCTCATAAGAATCCTCCACGCGGTATTACTACTAAATTTCAGTCACAAAACATAAAATTCTACATATGTTTTCTAGCAGTGAGTATAAAATTGATGACAAAAATTATTTGTTGCCCTTTCATCCAATAATTTCTCATTATATGCTCCAAGGGGTATTAGTAGCTATGCATGATATGTCATCGCAGTAATTGTCTATGAATTTCAGTCACAAAGCACGAAATTCTACATATGTTTCCTTGTGAGCGTAAAAATGATGATTAATATGATTTGTTGCACATTCTCGTAATAATTTCTCATATATGTCCCAAGGGGTATCAGTAGCTATGAATGATATTTTTTCGTAGTAATTGTTTGAGGCTATCTATTTTCCTGCCTTACTTCAGAGTGTGTGATTAAAAAATATGTTTTTCTTGTTCTAAGTGTGCCCAAGCGGTATTAGTTCTAAATTTCAGTAATAAAACACAAAGTTCTACATTTATTTCGTAGCAGTGAACATAAAAATGATGGTAGAGATGATTTATTGTTTTTTCTCCCAATAATTTTTCATTATATGCCCCAAGGGGTATCAGTAGCTATGCATGATATGCTTTCGCAGAAATTGTCTGAGATTATATATTTCTCTGCCTCACTTCAGAGTGTGTTATTGAAAAATATGTTTTTCTTGTCTTAAGAGTGCCCCAAGTGGTATTAATCCTGAATTTCAGTAACAAAGCATGGAATTCTACATATGTTTCCTAGCCGTGAGCAAAAAAATGATGACAAAGATAATCCGTTGCCCTTTCTCCCAATAATTTCTCATTATATGCCCCATGTGGTATTAGTAGTTATACATAATGTCTTCACAGTAATTTTTTAAGGCAATCTATTTCACTGTCTCACTTCAGAGTGTGTGTGTGATTGAAAAATATAATTTTCTAAGCATAACATTTGTAACTCGATTTACATGAGCATGCTCAAACAGGCTACAACTACATATATTTCCTAGCAGTGAGCATAAAAATGATGAAAAAGATGATCTGTTGCCCTTTCTTACAATTTTTTTTTCATTATATACCACAAGGGGTATCAGTAACTATGCATAATATATTGTAACAGTAATTCTCTGAGGCTATCTATTTCACTGTCTCACTTCAGAGAGTGTGTGTGTGAATGAAAAATATACTAAATGACGATATCGGAAATATGAACGAAAAATTTGCTATGCGGTGCAAATGCACGAGAAATAAAAATTTCTCAAAGTGAATATAGAGAAAGGTGATACCGGAAGAAAATGGTGCTCAGAACGACGGGTTAGGGCAGAGGAAGCAAGAGTTCCGCGGGGAAGGTAAAGGCAGAATACGGACATGGGGTGGAATCTAGGGGCAAGCGTGTAAAATATCGGAGAAGAAATGCCTGTCGCGGGGATGAACCTGCGACCCACGTTTTGCTAAACGGTGCGGCCGCCGCGAGCAAAAATGCCGCCCTAAACGACACAAATTAGCAGCCCCAAGCCTCACCGACTGAAAACCACCGCCCGAAACGGGCCTCAAGTTCATTAGTGGGGATTTATTAATCTGATTTGGGATGCATAGCCAGTCGTATCCATTTCTTATTTGTATTTCGCATGATATTCTTATCAATTCTAAAAGGAAAGTGCTATGTTGTAATGTTTGTATGGTTGTTAATTTAATGTGTTCCGACTGTAATCTTAGTTTTGATATCTCTATCTCTAATCCGTTACATGTACATAGCTAGCAGTATTCGATTTCTTATTTCACCTGGCTTGATATACTTAATGAATTTTTAACAGGACTGTTCTATCGTTATGTGTCCCAACTTTTTATTGTTTTTTTTGTTGCTTCTATTTAGAGAACCTTGAATATAACACAATTTTGGCAATGCTAACTTTCGTTTGATAATTTTTTATTTTGGATGTCTTATATTCTTGTCATGATTTTGTGCGTTAGAAATGTACTTTCTTAGACTGAAAGAAAAATTTTATAAGATGGTGGTGAGAACTGCAATGCTCTATGGTGCAGAATGTTAGCTTTTAGCTTTTAAAAGAGAAGCAAGAAGCATAAAACAAAGAAGTGTTACTACGATGCGAATGCTCAAGTAGATGGGTGGCTTGACACTTAGAGACAAAATGCGAAATGAATATATCTGTGATAGGGTTGGTGTAGCTCCTAGGGTGGACAAGAATAGAGAAAGTCGTCTTTAGATGGTTTGCTCACATTAAACTTCGACCATCTGATGATCCGATTTGGAGAGTAGATGTTTTAGATTCGACTTATGTTAAGAAAAATAAAGTTAGACCTAAAAAGACTTAGGCATATTGTATAAAAAAATTATCTTAAATTTTTAGAATTAAATGAAATATGACAATCAATAGGACGCAATGGAGAAAAATGATTCATGTAGCTAATTCCACTCAGTGTGATAAAGGCTTGTTGTTGTTGTTGCTGTTATTGGATGTCTTATATTAGTGAATGCGGAGATAAGTAATGACATAATTTTTTAGAATTAAAATTGAGTGGTTTAAACATAGGAATTCTCTAAAGTGTTGCTGAATAAGAAAATCTATATAATTTGAGGGGTAATTTTTATAAAATTTAAATTTTAATTAATCGTTTTATATGAATTTTGGTATCGGGCAATAATAGTAATGTTGGTAATAGCCACATTGGTGCAGCAGAAATGAATATATTCAGATTGATGTGGTAAAAGTTATGTAAGGATAGAGAGAGAAGATTATATTAGAATATGATCAGCAGAACACCTTTAGTAATTAGGCAGCAACAATTAGATTCGGTAATTGGCCATGTATTATGTAGAATATAAGATGCACAAATAATATAGGAGAATAAATATATAGTGGAAAAATTATGCAGGAAACTAAGTAGACTAAGGATATCACGGTTAGTAATTTTGCAATAGATGGTGCAAAACAGAATTAAAAATCTTAGTAATTAATGCGAATGAATTGAGGGGATTCCTAAAGCAGACCAAAGTCACGCCATGTAATTTGATAAGGATGATCAAGAATCTGGATGATGATTTGTGTTCATAAAGTCTTATTTTGATTTAATTATATTTATCTGTCATTTCTTATAGGTTGGAGAGCATGCAGCAGTTCTTGGTTTTGTTGGATCACCATGGACAATTGCTACTTATATTGTGGAAGGGGGTACAACTCGGACTTATGCAACTATTAAAAGCATGTGCCATACTGCACCACATGTGTTAAAGACTCTACTTTCTCATCTCACACGAGCAATTTCTGAGTACATCATCTTTCAAGTAAAATCTGGAGCACAATGCATACAGATTTTTGATTCATGGGGTGGACAGATACCTCCACATGCTTGGGAGCAATGGTCAAGGCCGTACATTCAGAAGGTAGGATTTTCAATTAATGTTTATTTTGTTCATCAGGGAAATTTGCTTGTGCATGCATTTTTAACGTCATTAGGAAGGTTTTCTATGTACCATTCATATTTAATGTTTATTTTTCTTTCAGTGCTATTCCAATATGTTATATAAATGAATTGCGTTCTTTCAGGCTCTTATTTATGTACAAACAATGATAATATGGAAAAAGATACTGAAAATGGCCAGCAAATTTTAGTAGGCGAAAAGGCTATAAGAGGTCCACAGGTGTTGGCTAAGTTTGTTTTGTTTCATGATTCTCATGTATGTTTTGTTTGATTCTATTTCCTTAGTGTCTTTCACCAATGTGTAAGCCAGCGCTATGCTGATTGCTTTCTCTGCCTTGTATCTTGGAAATTGATATTGGTGCGAAGCAAATATGACCTGTCAGACTGTGGGCTTGTCATAATGGCTGCTGCCTCCATTTCAACCCTAGAGATCATGTATTTAAGTCACGGAAATGTAAGTGTAAACTTGTCTGGACCCTACTTTTGTAGGAGCTTCATGCAACTTGGTTTGCCCTTTATTTGTTCTGAAAAAAAAGGAGTTACAAATTCTCTTAAGGATGACTTTTTATTATGACATGGCAATGAAAATTTTAAAATGACTGCAATGAAAATTCTCTTTTACTTATGGATGTGATTATTCAATATAGCAAGGTTTATTTAAATAATCTAATTACCGAAATTGATCGATACCAGATATTATGAGTTTATTGAAGAATATGTGATGAATTAATAAAAATAAGATTATATTTAGTAGATCTGTAATAAGTGACGGCAATGAAATTTTTAAAATGACTGCAATGAATAACTCTTTTACTTATGGATGTGATTATTGAAATATATCAAGAGGTTTATTTGAATAATCTAATTTCCAAAATTGAGTGATGCAAGATATTATGAGTTTATTGAAGGAATAATTGATGGATTAATAAAAAACATTAAATTTAGTTAATCTGAATCATCTTTCATTCATCATCTTTAAGTGCAGTTTTAGTTGGCATAAAATTGAATAGTTTTAGTCAATGTTAGTGGAAGATCAATTGATATCAAGATGTATTGATTCAGGTAAATTGAATCGCGGATATAAAATTATATAGATATAGATAAAGTCATAGCTTTAGTTAATTCTTGATATTTAAAATTAAATAATTAGACCAAAATTTGACAAAAAGTAAAGTAAGATCTTGGAGAATTTTATGGTGCTATAAACTATAATTAGACCAAAATAATTTTTAGATTTAAGGGTTAGAAAACAAAGAACTCAATGGTTACAAAATAATTGTGGCCAAATTAAGAATGTTATGATGGATCCATAGTGAAAGTATGAAGGATAGATGAGAAATAGATTAAATCCAAAAATAGTCTATTAAATATTTGTGTGCGGTCACTTTATTCTTAAGTATCGCAATTTAGTCTTGATTATACAAAATTGATCCAAAATGAACTTTTTTGTGAAAGTTATGTTACAAACTCGATCTCAATTTAGCCCATCAATTATAAAAAAAATTGAATTCTAATTCAGTTCATGATGGACTACTTTGGATCAATTTTGCATAGTTGAAGGACTAAATTAAAGAAATATGATACTCTAGGATTAAATTAGCACATACTAATTGTTGAGAGACTATTTAGTGTTCAAGGCAATATTTATTATATAGACATACAGAAATTAAATAGGCCAGTGGATATTGGCTTGAGTTATTTAGGCATGCACAACGGAGAGTATAAAAAAAATGTATAAAGTAGTTAGTTTATTATAGAATGGGAACAATGGATAGATTAAATGTTGATATGGTTAAAATTAGTGCGTAAAGATCGTTATAAACTTGTTGAAATCTCATGTAGCACTCAACACGAGTGAATAGTAGTAGAGAATTCAAAAATCCGAGTAAAGTGGAATAATGATAATGAATTGCATGATGGAATCACAATTTAGTATAATTGTAATATATATTTATATATTTTATAATAGTGTTGATGCTAATATTCTGGTTAACGATGTTTAGTATTGCCCAATTTCATGTATACTTATTGGACTCTTGAGTTTAACCTTCAGTTCATTACATTATTAGTTTTTTGGTTTTTTTCAAAACTTGATGACTCTTTATTCACTAATTACAGATTTTTTGACTCCACAAACGATTAATTGCAAATACAGAACAAGAGAATGACTTATATAAAGACATAAATTATTATTTCTTATTATATTTATATCCCACCATTGCATGTAGCTGAAAACCAATTTCTTTAGTTCCAATCCTATGTCATTGATAGATGTGTTGTAAAAAAATGAGAAATTTAAGATGAATTTGTGGTAAAATAAGGATCTTTAAATTGACAAATTATTATATTGTAGGGATGTTGAGAATAACACTTCGAAAGATAAAAGGGTATTTAATAGTCTTACGTGATTTGAACATGGACAAGAAAGGATATAAATGTATCAATAAGATGGCATATATTGTTAGTATGGAAGTATTATAAAAGAAAAAAGCTATATCAAAATGTTTGTAAAGTTATGCCAAAAGATTTGCTCAATATAAAGCACACTGCATGCATCACTCTAATTGGAATGAATAAAATAAAGTGTTTGAAAAGCAAACTACAAGTAGGTGGCATAAAGCCACTCATATTGATGATTAGGGTTGTAAATAATTTGAATTGAGTCTAGCATTTACTGTTCAATATTGTACTTCAATCTGTTTTCAAGCTTGAGCTGAGCTTACGCATGACATGTGTTTCAAAATCTTGCATAAGTTTCTCTACTAATTTTCTTATGGAGTTTGAACCGTAGTCAAGCATAACTAATTGTGTATAGGATTCTAATGGTTTAATAAACATAATCTTATTATTAACAATGCATATATTCATAATTTATTTTTGCGTTATTTCTTATGTTTTATGAATAAGCAAAATGATATTTTTATCTCTGTTTAGTTATTTGTTCCATTTTTTATTAAATATTTATTAAAAAATTATCATTATATATTTTAAATATTTTTTTCATACTTATATATTTAATAACTAAAACTTCTGAAATGCATAGTATAAATAGAATAAGTTATCCATAAGCAACTAGACCGCGTTCAAATAATCATTTTATCAAGTTTTTAGTTAGCTATTTATTAAAGGACAGATCAACATATACATGAACCTAAATGAATTAGTAGGCTAACGTTCAATCTTATTCTTTGATTTGTTGAGCTTTAATATTTAATTCTCTAAATGAATTAATATAAATGAGATTTGATAGTGAGTATCAAGTTGTTCCTTGTTCATTTACAACCATGATGATGATTCCTTTAATTTTATCTATCGTTGGATTTTTATTTTCATGCTTCTTCAAATGATTTCTCATAACATGTGGTGGAAGTGGAATGATTGTGTACACCATTTTTTTGTAGACTGATGACGTCCGACACTGTTTTACTGTTAGTGACCGTGTCAGATATAAACCTTGGCAGAAGAATAAATCTTGCAAAGGAAATTTATATACATAGCACACAATTCTTATGAATTTACATGTATCACACCTAAGCTTTAATATTTACACACATATCACTCAAATCTTTAATATCACATCAAAAAAAAAGGAATAAATCTTCTAAGGAAAATTTACATACATATCACCCAATTCTTATGTATTTACATATCTCACGCCTACTTTCATGTTTACATAAACAGCACTTTGGTGCTTTAAACTCATGCATGAAAAGCTGCATTTCACTTTTAAAAAGTGGTAATAGTGCTATTTTTTTGCGATATTAAAATTTGAGTTCTATGTGATATATAAGATTGTGTGCTATGTATGTAAATGTGACCGGTTTCTGGCCTATTTCTGATAGCTTGATCTGCAGGTGGTAAGTGCTGTAAGAAAAGAATGCCCTCAGGTACCTCTTGTATTGTATATCAATGGCAACGGCGGTCTCCTGGAACGAATGATTGGTACTGGTGTTGATGTTATTGGACTTGACTGGACAGTTGACATGGCAGATGGAAGGAGGAGACTAGGAAACAAAGTCGCCGTGCAGGGCAATGTTGATCCTGCTTATCTTTTCTGTCCGCTGCCAGCTTTAACAGATGAAATTCACAGGTATCTCTTTCTTTCGTTCTTTTTCTATGCTCTTCTCATGATCATGTTTGAAACACATACGCATTCCTCTAATTGCTCAGCTTTCTAACAAATATTAAATTATTTCTGATTGCACTATTATGTTAATCAAGTTTACAAAAAAATGCTTGAGGCCATTTTTTATTCTCTTTCATGTCTATCAAATTATTTCTTTCAGATCAACGTAGTTATTTGACTGAGTTATGCGGTTTTATGCAGCTTTGCTGCCTGGGACAGTCGAGCTTCAATGTTTTTCTGAAGTCGTACTTTATAACCTGTCATTTTCCTTTCTATGTTTCCTTGTTTACCAGTTAGTTGTTCTTTCCAGTCTTCTGTTTTTTTTCTTGTTTGGTGAAGTGATGTGATGTTTCCTGGCCGGATCCTTCCATCTTTCTTATATGGCAAGAAAAGCATGAGAAAATAGATGGACCTTTAGTGCGATTGACACTTTTGGAAAGAGGTGAAAGAGATTTAGGGATAGATGTAAGCTGCATTTCTCAGAGTAATAAAACTTTGGGGTAATACTAGACCGCCCAAATAAATCCACTCTTTAATGGGTCTCTCATCGACTGCCATTAATTAAGACTGTAAAAATGTTTAATTATCTTTCTCAATCCTTTTTAATGGATTTATGATGTTTTATCCTTAAACAGAAAAATTTTGACATGTAAGAATTTATTTTATATAAAATTTCTTTCTCTGATGTAATTTTCTTGCTTGAAATATAAGATTTTAAACCAGACAATGTTTTATGTGATGTGCTTTTTTGAAGAACAGTAATTTAAAACATCCTTTTATGGGAATCTTTAAATTCAAGTTACTGTGTGTTGTCATTGTTTTCGTTCATTGAAGCTGACTTGATTTAGTTGTTTGATCAAACTTCCAGCAGCCGCTTCGCATTGCTCTAGTTTATGTTCAATCTTAACGGGCACATGTGTACTCTATTGGATTATCACGCAGACCTCAATTTAGTCTTATCCTATTGTTAGCTGTTAAAGAAAGATGTTATTGAACTGGAAATATGAAATGTTATCAATCTTTTTTGAAATTAGAATTGATCCTCTTATATTTATTTTAATAGCGCAGAGGCAACAACACGACTAGGCTTTGCGACCGAGCCGTGTCGATGCCATCAAATTGTATAGGAGTGCATGAGTTTAACTACCATTTAAAGTATGATTTAGAAGAATGCTACTATCCAAATTCGGATTTAGAAAAATGCCACTATTAAAGCATGTGTATAAACATCACAAACAATGTCCTTTTGGCAGATGCTCAAGGCACTAATAAAGATTGCTGGTCATATTAAACCTTGCACTGAATTACTTGACAAAAGTATGGTTTATTTTGTTTTATTTTATTTTTTTCAAACACCCAATACCAAAATCCTGGATCCAATACCAGCTATCTGAACTTAGTGCAAGAGTATAACATTGCAGCGAAGATCTACTAGTCTATTTCAACCAGAAAGCTGTTCACTTTTTTAATTATTATTGATTTTTATTTTCAGGGTTGTTAAGAGTGCTGGACGCAGAGGACACATTCTTAATCTTGGCCATGGCGTTCTTGTGGATACCCCAGAAGAGGCTGTTGCACATTTCTTTGATGTAGTCAAAGGCTTGAGATATGACTCCCTTTTCAAAGAGACTGTGTTAGAAAATCTGGAGCCTGTTGCTTGAGGTAACCTGATTTTGTATTTTTTAAAATTCTCTCTTGTTTATATTTCATATCCATTTATGCAGAGTATTTAGACGTTGTAATAATGTATGTATAATTGAATCTGAGATTGGAATAAATAGTTTAAATCAATGCAAATATTATTTATTGTTATATTAACGTGTTGCTTTTTATTTTTTTTATTTTTTTAAATTTTACAAAAAAAATGCTTTGGACAACACAATCAACCCACTTGACTAATGTTGATGTCAAATTACTCAGGACCGGTTATTGCATAGGACATCCGACGTAAATTTGCGTCAGTAGTGCAGTGGGTACCTGTTATGTGGCAAGTGAGTTACATTATAATACACTGTTTGGGCAGGTTTTAGAGAAGGGTGAGACCCACTTAGCACGTCGCAAGATAGTCAACCAGGAAGAATCAATTAGGCGTGGAAGAAAACTGATTTGATTATCGTTTGACATGAAATTAATCATATAAGCTATTTTAAATGCTATCTTTTATGGCTAATGGCGATGGCATATAGAGAATAGGTTAATAGCAATTAGAAGGTTATGGAGAGGGAGGGAGAGAGATGAGGAACGAGTTTTGAGTTTTGGAATATTACATGCATGCCACTCAATTTCTATGTACTTATATAACACCTAATTTTATGCATGCATCTTATCTTATCTATATATAAAAAAATGTATTTTATTTTTTAAAAGTTACCATGGTCGGATAAATGTAGAGAGCAAAGTTTAGGTGTTAGGTATTATGAACTATGAAGGCAGAATTGGGTGGTATTTAAACCCCCCCTTTAGTTTTTAATTCAAAAATATCAAATATATTAGAATATTAAATATAGTTTTATTTCAAATTAGAACGTAATTTATATAAATTATAAATAAAAAAACTATATAAAAAATAATTTTTATTTCAAATTAGAAGATAAATAAAATAAATTATATAAAAAAATTAGATAATAATAAAATAAAAAGTGATTGAAATAGTTCTCATGTTTTTTGTTATATTTCTATTTCCTTCTTGAAAAATAATCGTGCTCGCATAAATCCAAAAGGATTTTACCATAAATCCAAAAGGATATGTGCACTAGGAAACAATTGATCATCTGCTTCGAACAATGATCAAAACTTGTTTTAACCTTGATCAAAATGTGCCATTATTGAACATTCGAAGCTCGTTGGAATCTTATTCAAAGAAGGTTTAAGCATGGTTTGAACAAGGATCGAAGATGGTTCGATCTTGGTTAAAAAATAATCACACATCCTAACAAGTTTAGTTCAGGTTTAATCAAGATTCGAGCAAGATGAAATCTTGTTTCGAACATAATACATATAATATGAGGATGTGTGATTAAAACATTGGTTTGACAATTTGAGGTTATTGACATTATTATATCAAAAATTAAAAGCAATGATATATCTATCAATGTTGAATTCTATATTGATCAGTATTTGTATGTGCTGTTGTAAGATCAATGCAAATATGTCCTTTTGATCAAAAAATATCATTAGATGATCATTTATCTTTATTTTTGTTATTTTGATTACTGATTTTTAGCATGGCGGCATAAAACAATTATAAATTGAAAATGCATTTGATATTTGCATTTTAAAAATAGTTTGGATTATGACAAATTTTAAAAAGCACATTTTATAGCCTCAAACATACCCATTAACTATAGAGTTGTGCACTTAAAAGTGATATAAATGTGGTCAAATTTTAAATGTTGTTCTCTATATGTAATATGTACTACCACACCCAGTTGAGACACAAAAGAGGCAATTTAAATTGTGTTAAAAATATTGTGATTATTTTCACCTTATAATTGCTTTGATTTAATGTAATGAATTTTACTACAAATTTAAATATATTATGCTATAATATGATGATTTTCATTATAGATGTCTTATAGCTATAAGATTATAGATTGTTGTCTACCTTTAAATCACACTTATTCGAACCATATTCAAATATAATTTGAATCATGCTGAAATCATTTTCAACTGTCATTAGAACAGTAGTAGCTTCAAATATTTGAACATAAATTAAGCTCGAATGATATTTGAAGTTTGTTGAAATTATGTTTGAATCTTTTCCAAATTCTATTTGAACATTTTTTTTAAAATAATGCTTGAATAATGTTTAAAATTTGCTCAAACCTACTTCAAATTTGATTTGAATGGATTTGGGTAGAAGTAAAAAAAAATTTCAAATATGATTTAATGCAACTCAATAAAATCGCATCTATAACATAGCACACAATCTCATAAAATCAACCACTTGGCAAACCTTGTAGCGTCTATTTCACTATATATTTGCTAATGAACAAAGAAATGAGGAAATAACAAATTATGAAAATGATGGGGCAATGTACTTATTGCAAAGATAAAAGGAGATTGGGGTATTAGGTTTGAAATATATTTTTGAGCATGCCTTGCCTAAGCATGAAAGCATATTCCTCCAATTTTTTTTGTTATGATGAAACTTTCTTTATAAAATGTGTGTTGAACATCTTAGGGCCCGTTTAGGGCAGCTTATTTAGTGCGGTGGCGTTTTGAAAACACACCTGAAAGCTGCATTTTGGCAGCTTATGCATTTTCAAAACACAGAAAACAACGTTTTCACACCGCGGGAGCTTATCGGCAACAACCTGATTTTTCCAAAAAAAATAAAAATTTGTAATAGTCATTGCACCTAAATTATCAGTAGATTATTCAATAAACTACCGCTGCCCCAAACAGACCCTTAGTCGTACATATCTTGAGGATATAGGACAATAATTGCACTAATGAAAATGTGGATATTATATACATACATACATATACATACATACATATATACATATATATACATATATATATATATATATATACACACACACACACACGATACAAATCATCTTCAAAAAAGGGCCAAGCCTTCACGTAACAAAATATTATAAAAGAAAATTAAAGTATTTTAAGAGAAGATCCAAAATAATGATGAGACACAGAATGTTGTTTGTTATGAATCAGGCTTGAGCTTGTGTTCTTGAAGCCGGCATATGCTGGAAATTTATAGAAAGAGGAAATTTTGAATGTTCGGTAAAACAGAATCGAATAGAACTGACTCAGATCAAAGCAAAATGCCAAAAAAAAATATTTTTATTTTTTATTACTAAAAACAAATTAATATTATTGAGAATTAAATAAAGTTTAGGGTCGTATTGTAAATAGGAAATATAGAATAAATGTAGGGCTTTATTTGTAAAGAATGATGTAAGGCACTATAAAAACCAAAATTTTAGTGAAAAGATGAGTTTTCCTGAACATTTCTTTCTATTTGGCATCAGAGGTACAATCTATTGTGAATTTATAGTGGTGGGTAGCGAAGAACAGAGACTAGGAGTGAAAAACTCACATAAAAGAGTTGTGATACAGTCTCGCCTACAGCTAACTGGGACAACAATGCAATCAGGGCAAACTGGGATGGCAACCACGGGCGTGGAGAACTCGCGATACAGTTGCGATCAGAGCTACGCAGGGAGGTCTCGATGGGATCGGGGTGATACAATCGTGATTAGAGCTGGCTAAGAAGGCAAGGACGAGATTGCGGCAAGGAACAGGTGACACAGTCGCGGAGTTCTCTGTGTGTCGTGATTCGGTTCTTGCTGTGAAACCAGTGAAGCAGTCGTTGGTTTAGAGAGTCCTCTGCAGCTGGATTTGCGAGACAAGGAAGAGGAGACGTCGGGGATAAAAGGAGTTGGTGGACTAAATTGCACTCTAGTTAGGAAGTAACAAGTAACAACGGAAGCTTCGGTTTTTTTTTTTAAGGTTCGAATGTCAGGAGAAGGAGATGATGCGGGAGCTAAAGGATTGGAACTTCTAGATAAGATATATCCTGAAGTTTTGAAGGTCTTGGTTGGCCTCATACAGAGAGCTAGCGTTTCAACAGAAACCATCATCTCAACACGTGCTCTGACGTATGTGAAGCTAGATCTCCCTCCTATAGATCTGAAGCTCAATGGACCGACCACGTATCTGAGTTGGTTGAGTTGGATCGAGGCTGTTCTAGTAGGGTAGAGACTAAAAAGATACCTGACGGGTATCAAGCCAAAAAGTGACTATGCAAGCATTGCTTTACAACTAGTTAGGGTTCAGTGGATGACATTCGAAAGGTGAACGACATCTGAGCGAAACTGAAGAAGATCTATATTGGAGCTAAGAACCATATGGAGATATTTCATATTAAACATGAGATAAAGGCAGTGGTTCAGGGTAATAAATCCATTCAGCAGTACTCCTTAGCGCCGAAGCGGTTTTTGACAGATCTTGATCACTGATCACCGACGTTGAGCTGTGGTGATCTTCTTTGCATAGATAAGGACTATATAGTTTCTGGCTTATATGAAACCGACCATTGATCAGAGGAGATCGATCCTCTTAGCCCAGGCAACGATTCCTTCACTAGATAAGGCCATCGCTGCGGTGATACATGAGGAGAGTCGCATGTAGCTACATTTTGAGCTGAGTGGATTTCCGGATACACTATCAGCCTTGGCTGCCTCAAGCTCCAGTATGACAGACGTCCAAGGGGAGACCCACCGGTGCTACAATTGTGAATAAGTGGGACGCATGAGCAAGGTTTTTCCAAAACCACCAAGGAGAGAGACGAGTGGACATGGACAGTCTAGATCATTGCCATAATCGTGGGAGCCAAAGAATTGGAAGAGAGTCCACAAGGCAAATCTAATAGTGGAGAATGAGGGATAGACAGGTGGTTTTTATCGATGAGGATCACAAATTTTTGGAGATATTGAAAAGAAATCAGAGAGTGGCAGGTGATGTGACTAAGGATGCATCCACTTTATTATCATCCTAGGGGAACACTGTTACTTATGCTCATTCAGCCAAAGGGGCTAATAAAACACATGCTCTTGCCTCTTTATCGACAACAAGATCACCAGAATGAATAGGAGATTCTGGTGCATCTCGATATGATATGTGCTGCTAGTGAGTTCTCTTTATATACGCACATAGCAGTTCCAGAGAGCATTCAACCTGTTGATTGAACAACACAGCTTGTTGTTGGCGAGGGTACAATGAGATGTACTAATTCTATGACTATGTCCAATATTTTGCATGCTCCTTCCTTTTCAGTGAACATTTTTTTCATTAGTGTCATTATACTCCAACTAAAATATATTTTTTCATTAGACATTCTTAAGGTGATCTTTCAAGAGAAGGGGACTGACACGTTGCATAGTGGACTCTGGTATTTGGATTGATAGGGGGTGAACACAACCTTGACATCTATGGTATAAAGTGCTAGGGTTTGAGGATCTGGGAGGAGTGTAGAGGATGTGATGTTGCTACATCACAAGTGCATAGGGAACTCTTCATCTAGTCCATTGAATCGTCAGCATTCGTCTTTGCATGAAAAAAAAAACAAATAAACAAAAATTTGTGTGTGACTTTGGTAAGCATGACAGGAGCTCTTATGTTAGTTCTGAAACAAAGAGTTCTTATGTTTTTATTTAGTGCACTCAAATGCATCGGGACTTTGTTCTACAACTGCAATCAATGACTATAGATATTTTGAACTTTTATTGATTATTTTTCTCATGTTACTTGGTTATATCTGATGAGAAACAAAAATGATGTGTTTGTCTGCTTTAAAGGCCCTCACAAGGACGATTCAGACTCAAAATGATGCATTAGTGAAGATATTGAGATATGATAATAGGACAGAATATACCAACAAAATATTGAAGTACATGTCAGCCCGAAATACAACATCAAACCATATATCCAAAACAAAGTAGAAGAGAGGAAGAATAAATACCTTCTAGAAGTAGCCGGAAGCATGATCTAGATGAATGTCCTAAAACACTTGTGGGGGCAAGCTGTTTTGACAGCCAAATGCTCTCAAGAGTATTGGAGTGACAATCTCCTTGTGAGTTGATCAAAGAAGATAATGGCAGGATCTCCCATTAAAGGTATTTGGTTATGTATGTTTTGTGAAGGATAATATACTATTAATAGAAAAGTTGGATCCCAAAGCTGTGAAGTACGTGTTTGTGGGTTATTTTGCCACTCAGAAGGGGAATGTTTGTTGGAACCCAATAGATAAGAGACTGTGAGCATGAATGTGACTTTTAGAGAATTTGAACCGCACTACACCTTAGAGGTGATCTCATCCTTTGGTAACCCGCTAGATATTGGAGGTATGAGGCGAGAGAGGGACAGTAATGATGGTGAGAGATTCATACATGTGGGAACAATGCCTTGTCCCGTTGTGTGGGAAGGATAGACAAAGGAAGAACCAAAAAATGAGAAAAATGAGCCCGAAGGTAGTGGGACTCAAGCTCAAGGGGAGCTGAGGTTGTATACAAGGAGGAGACAGAATGAGGGAACAATGCTTACCGTGTCACTCATGCCAACAAGTCCCTTGTCCCGGTCTACCTCGACTCCTGAGACACCTAAATCATCTACCTTGGAATTCGATTACACAGATGATATGATTCCTCTCATCGTAACGCGGGTCATCCTCCTAATCAATTTTCTCCTAATTGTTTTAGTTTCTAATAAGAAATTGTCAAGTTTGTCCCATTTTCTAACATATCACATTTACACAGAGCATTCATTGTATCTTTAGACATTGTCTCTATACCCAAGTGTTGGCAAGTAGCTAAGAAGGTTCCAAAGTGAAAGACTGCTATGCTGGAAGAACTTGGTGGTCTCGATAAGAACAGAACGTGCGAACTCACATTGCTACCAGCAGGGAAAAAGGCAGTTGGGTGCAAATGGTCTTCACAGTGAAGCAAACCTCAGAAGGGTAGATTGATTGCTACAAAGCAAAATTGGGGGCGAAAGGTATAGTCAGATGTATAACATCGACTATGATGAGACGTTTACACCAGTGACAAATATGAGCACACTCAGGACACTCGTCTCTCTAGCTATGAATGGTGGATAGAGGTTACACCTACTGGTGTGAATATTGTGTTTCTTTATGGGGATCTGCTAGAAGAGGTGTACATGGAAATACCTCCAGGCTTCAACACAACCAAACAATGGGCAAGATATGTAGGCTGAGAAAGTCATTGTATGATTTGAAACAGTCTTCTCAAGCTTGGTTTGACAAGTTCAAGAGAGCAATGATAGACTTGAGCTATCAGCAAATCAATGCTGACCACATAGAGTTCTTTCGACGACATGGTGGTCACATTACTATTTTGTTGTGGAAGCGGATGAAATGATTGTCACTAGTGATGATGAGGGAGTGATTGCTCAATTAAAGGAAAATTTGGGCAAAGAGTTTAAGGTGAAGGACCGGGGATAACTTAGATACTTTCTCGGGATTGAGGTAGCTCTTGGAGCAGAAGGAATTGTTCAATCTCAGAGGAAGTATGTGCTAGAATTGCTCACAGAGATAGGTATATTGAGATGCAAGCCAACAATTTCATCAATTGATTAGTAGGAAAAAGTGAACCTCGAAAAAGGAGAGTCACTTGATCGTGAGAGGTACCAGAGGTTGGTAGGTCTTCTCATCCATCTGAGTCACACTTGTCCCAACATATCATTTGCACTAAACGTGATGAGTCGATGATCCGAGAAAGAGCCACATGAATGAAGTGTATCAAATTCTGAGATATCTGAAGAGTGCACCAGAGAAGAGGTTGATCTTCAGAAAAAAGGAGCATTTAGGCATTAAGGGCTACTGTGACTCTGATTGGGCTAGTTGTGTCAATGACATGAGCTCTGCATCAGGATAATGTATGTTCGTAGGGGGCAATTTGGTATCTTGGAAGAGCAATAAACAGTCTGTAGTTGTGAGGTCGGCGATAGAGGCAGAGTACAGGACTATGGCCTTAGGAGTTGTTGAGATGTTATGGCTAAGAGCTCTGTTGGTAGAGCTCAAGGTAGACCAAGGAGCTCAAATGAAGTTGCGGTGCGAAAATAAGTCAGCAATCGACATTGCCAACTACCCAGTGCAGCATGACATAACCAAGTATGCGGAGATTGATAGGTTCTCCATCAAGGAGAAGTTGAATTATGGATTACTGAAGATAAGTCATGTAGTTGTTAGAGAGCAAGTAGCTGCCTGCCTCAGTAAGGAACTTAGCTCATTAGCTCTAAGTTGTGTGATTAGATGTGCACAGTGGACATCTTTTGACCTTCTTGGGGGGAGTGTTGAGAATTATATATAGTTTAGGGTCTTATTTGTAAATAGGAAATAAAAAATAAGTTTAGAGATTTATTTGTAAAAAATGTTCTAAGGAACTATATAAGCCAAAGTCTTTAGCAAATAGATGAGGTTTTCTGAACATTTCTTTCAATTAATATGATTTGAAAACACTCAAAATAGCTTTTAAGTGTTTCGAATGTTTTTAAAAACAATTATACTTTAATCAAATAATCAAATATATTTTATTTCAAATGAAAATTTAATTAAGATAAAAAATAAAAGAAGTCCTAAACAACTCTTTAGTAACACAGTAGATGCGAGTCTTTATACCATCTATAAGAGCTTCCTGATTTAAAGGACAGGCATGAAAGTTTAGACCAGGTTAACTGAAGATTTCGGTGAAGGTAACAGCAGCGAAGACGAGAAATAGAGTTCCTCCAATGTATGAAATGACCTGCAAGTCAGAATCTTTAAAGGTAAAATGTTGTGTCGACTAAGAATGGGTATAATATTTCAAGTTGCCATCGGATTTCAGCTTTTGGATATCTTATCAGCCCACTGAAACTTTCAACTATAAATACCATCCCACCTCCATAGAGATCTTAGAAAAATTATCAGTGTTATTTGTTTCCAAAACGAGCTACCAAAAACGGAATATTGCAGACAGAAATTTTACGGAAGTAAGAGTTTACGTTGGTAAATGTTAAAATCCTGATGAAATTTCTGATTTAAAACTCCAAATTCTTCAGGAAAGAGTTACCTTCTCAGAGATATATGTTCCCAGCAATGAGCCACCTAAGACTGCGAGCTGCATAACAGGAAAGACTAACTGTCAAATTTAGCTCTTAAAGAAAGTTCCAGCAGGCAGACAGCACCCAGACTTCCATTTGCAATGTTCTGCAAATTTTCTCAGAACTAGAAAAACAATCAGTTTACAATGAATATAATCAGCAAGAAATCTATTTTACAGAGTTCTATTGCTCCACAAAGTTCAAATCTTTTCAAGGCATATTTTATTATGTTTACCTGTCATAGCTTTTCTATGTATTAAACAATTGCAGTATTATAAGCTTCTTTTCCTAAATTTGAATATGAGCCATACATAACCATCATTTGTTGATATCCCTTGTGCATATATACAAGTTAAACTATTCAAAAATGGAAAAAAAGCATTAAAAAAATTTAAATATTACTCATTGAGATATGATGCAATTATTTGCAGTGAGCCACATACTATTTTCACACGCTAATACGTGCATAGAAGGAATAACATCAGAGGAATATCATAAGACAAACATATATAAAAGAAAAAGAGAAATCTACGATCCTGGGCAAAATAGAGAGCAAGTATATTAGACAATAAAATTCTTGGACAAATGGCTTAAATGAATTTCACTGCAACATAATACAATATTTAAAAGATAATGCTATAATTGCATCTTACCAAAGTTGCAAAAGCATGACCAGCTAGAGCTCCCCCGATTACACCAAGAGGTGAAGCGGCAGCAGCAAGTGCTGTAACAGAAACAACTGCTCTTTTTAAGAGTAGAATTATAAAAAATCATGTCATGAGAAGAAGAAATATAATGAGACGAACCAATGGTAGAGAAAAATGATTTGTCACCCCATTCAGCGAAAAAGACAAGGAAGAAAGTACTAATCACTGTACTGGCAGCAGCAGTAAGTCCTGCTCCATTGCCTCGGAACTCTGAGATCGCTAACTCTGCCTGAACTGTTATTTATGTCAGCAACATGGTGTGTACACTAATACGTACAAAAAAAGTAGAGGCACATGAAAAAAAAATCAATAGCTGAATTGAAGGTTTTAGGAGTGGCAATTTGTTTGAAGGAATTGTAGTCATCACAAACTACTGGAATTTCAAAAAATATCGATGATGATTGAAGTGAAATTCCGTCTTTCTGGATCGGGAAAACAATATAATATGTGGTAAACACCCAGCACATTCTGACATGGTGTTCAAGAATATATGCATTAAATCAATACTTTTAATGTTAGAAAGAATTGGTGATACACTATTCATACAAAATGGAGAACATAAGGGAAAAGGAGAACTACAAAAAGCAAAGCAGCTTGTGTAAGAGGCATAGACAAAATGTAGCAGGTCGAACTGTGGTTGTGTGAACAAACCAAATCATGGTGGGACTACCCCAAGCCGAAAACCCCGCTCCACCATGTGCATGGAGGCCCGGAGCTCTTCTCAATTTCATGATTTACCCTGGCCGAGTCTATCTCCTGCACTCTCCTTAGCTGCCTCTGTTTCTGCTTTAAGGAGTTTGAAGAATAGAGCGTTCCCTATGCTTCTTTAATTCACACTATGCAGCTGCTAAGCCATTCTGATTCCTTCCTCCTTTAAACGAACAATGGGAAGCTTTCACCCTGCTTTCTTCTCCTTCACTTCCTTGGACCAGGACCATCCCCTATCATGGTTTCAACACAGTCTCTCCTACCGTAAAGCGTTATTATTTTCTTTTGAGATCATTTTTTGTTTTCATCTTGTTGAATGTGCACATTGACTTTTTTTTTTTTAATTTTGCATAGTTTGAATCATTCCATTACATTAAATCATGTGATTAAATCAATTTCCTATAAGGTTAATGACTGGGCTAGGTTATACTAAGTAGTTACTTTTAAGATTGTTAGTTAAGGTTTATCATAATTATCGTTTATTTAGATTATATTGTTAGGTTATTATAATATTTATTTTGGTGTAATAAGAATTAACATGGGTTTCTTGTGAGAAAACCTAGGGGAAGTAGATTATACGTGTTTTAAATTAATTAGCTTTTAATATCTTTATCTGCATTCTTGTAATTAATAGTTGGTTGGTGTTATTTAAGACCTCCTAGATAATATATATCTAACATTGTTTCTTTAGATTGAGAGGAAGTAGGTTCAAAGAGTATAATTTGAGATAAATAATAGTTATTTATTGAGGAATAAATATACACTTCTTTGTTATGAGTGCAATTCTTAATATTTTATAACAATTTTTAGATATTTGTAATTTGTCAGTTCTTCGTTTCTTCAGTTATCTACAACACGTCATAAATGTCTCTTTATGTTTATAATGAAATAGTAAGTTGTATGAAATTTTTTTCTTAAATTATTACCACCCAGATTCTCATATAAGGAACTAATTCATGTACATGCAGTGTTACTATGTTAAATTTTATTCATACAACTCATACTTTGATATATCAATAATAAAAATAATAATAATATTGATAAAACACTTCTTGAAAATTTGCAACATATAAAACCATATGTCTGAATGGAATGGTTTGTAGATCGGTAGAACGTTTTTGCATACTTTGGATATTTGCTAGCCAGGCCAATAAATCTATAGAGTAACTACCTTATAAAAAATCATTGAATTTTTTTGAGTTGATATTAATCATCCAAGTTTGATAATGTTTTGATAAAATATATTATATATATATCATGATTGACAAATGACTATTGAGTCATACTTAGAGAGGCATGAGCATACCAGATGTGATTACATATGTCAGCATAAAAGTGCATTAATTGATTATAATATACATTTAAATGATAATAAATATCATTATGCTAAAAACATCTTTAAATATACTTTTTATCAAACATTGTTAATTCAATGTGATGATATGATGGCACTTAATAGCGATGCATGATACGCTTCCACACCAAAATTAGCAAACAAACCAAAACAAAATCGCAATAGATTGGTAAAAACAGGGCTACTCTTACAATAATTGAAGGAAAAAACAAGCAAGATAGAAAAATAATCTACTTTCAAGATGTAGGTCGGCTCTCCTACACCCTAGACATTGCTAGGAACAACGCCAAAAGAAGAAAAATACAGCAGCCACAAAATAATGCATAAAAAAAATCAAACCCTAGGTTTCTCCCCTTAATAAAATCCCCTCATAACATTTGAAAACTTTCCTTACAAGCTTTCCCTCCCAACACCCTCAATTCCTCCTCCTTGAGTATGTGTGGATCCCACCTGCTCCTTTCTCTTCTGCCGCGCTCGACCTCTTCAATTGACGACGACCGGTTCGCCTGTTGAACGAGCGGGTCGGCTGGGTGGTATTTGATCGGTCTAGGCGGGACTGGTCCCCTTCTGCCTGTTACGAGCGCAACAATACTCCCCTCCCAAAGACATAGCTTGTCCTCAAGGTGGAAGAATGGAAACTGCTTGGGGATCACCTCGTACGACTCCCATGTTGCCTCATAGCATGACAGTCTTTTCCACTTAACTAATTGCTCCTTTTCTCCCCTAGTTCTCGGCGCACTCCTTCGATCTTTAGCGACTCTAGAATTACTTCCACTCCTCCGTCAGTGTTGGCGGAAGTGTAGACGAGGGTGTATGATCTTCAATTACACATCTCAGCATGAAATATGGAAAATCGGGTATAATGCAGGTAATGGTGGTAACTTCAAATGCAGGCTACTGCTACGATGCGTGTCATCACCTCCTTGTCATAAATTTTTGTCGATAGGGCCTCAGTTTCAAGTAGATCATGTCTTCTGGTTCAAATTGCACCTCTTTCCTGTGTCCATTAGCCTTCCTCTTCATTATTTGTTGAGCTCTCAATAAATGCCCCTTAAGCTCTACCAGTATCCTGTCCTCTCCTCCAAGTACTGATTGACACTGGATACCGGAGTGGTGCAATATCTATAATGTATCAAGTAAGGTGGATCCCGTCCAAACAATACCTTGAAAGGGGTTGCCTGTGTTGTAGTGTGGTACGAAGTATTATATGAATATTTGGCTCATGAAATCCACTTAGCCCATAACTTTGGTGTATTGAATACAAAATAACACAAATATGTCTCTACACTCCTATTGACAACCTCTGTTTGTCCATCAGTTTGAGGATATGCGGTGCTCTTTTTAAGGACTGTTCTTGCAACCTGAATAGTTCCTTTCAGAAGTGGTTGAGGAACACTTTGTCCCTATCCAATTAATTTCGATTATGGCACCCCGTGCAAACGGATCACTTCATGGATAAACAACGCCGCAATTGAAAACGCAGTGTAGGGTTGTCGTAAGAGAATGAAATATGCATACTTAAGCGATCAACGACCACCATAATCATCGTGAACTCTTCTGACTGTGACAACCTCTCGATAAAATCCATCGTCACTTCTTCCCAAATCTTCTCTGGTAATGCAAATGGTTGTAGTAACCCCTTAGTGTCGTGGCCAAGTACTTGTGTCGCTAACACACATCACATTTTGTCAACATTCCTCCACGTCTCTGCATATCCCCACCCAATAAAACTCTGTCGTCAGACAACTATAGGTCTTCTGCACTCTTGAATGTCCCCCGATCGCGTTGCCATGAATATAATAATCTAGGAATATACTTTGACGACTTGGGTTGCACAAATTGCCCTGATGAAGCAGTTGTTGTCCCCTCAAGGCATATCCTGGATGAGTGTTTGGATCCTGTAGTCATTCAACCCTTATTTTCCTCAGCTCCTCATCCCTTTCGCTCTGCTGTCTCCCCGCCTGCCAATCTAAGACCAAGGGTACCGATAGGGCTGTTGTTGACCTCATTTTTGTGAGGTCTTGTCTTCTCCTCCTTAGAGCCTAGATTCTAGCTCTAGAAATTCCTACTGACCATCCTAGAAAACTAGAATTGAGACTCACCCTTTTAGAAATTTCAGCCACTTCTTATTTTTCTTTGATGTCTAACATTTATGGCACAAGACCATCGTCTTATGAACGAGCGGTTATGGGCTATTTTGTGAAGACTCAGATGAAAAGTTCCCAATAGGACTTCAAGCCTTAGGAAGACATCTTCACGACCTTTTTCGTCACATACACACATCAAATACACAAAGTTCACGACATTGCACGAAATCGGACTTCAATTA